TAATGGTGTTCTTAAAAGACGCACTTCTCACATTTTTTAATGTTTTAAAAGCACGCTGAGTTTTCACAATTGACTTCTTGTAAATTTCAACTATTTCAGAGCGCACGCGTGGCGTGTATTGGTTCATGGTAAAAATCTGCTTGGACTGACGCTTCAAACGTCATTAAGCGATGTTACATCTCTATCAAAAGTTATGGCATTGCCAGATGGGTCCGTCGATGGTATATTGTAGTATTATTGTCAAACTTAGATTGAGTTCAGTCTTAGGTAATATCGGTCCACTTCTTCAGGTGCTTCTCTCACCAAAGGTCAAACATTTCAAAGAAAATAATTTACTTTATAGAATTGAAATAATCGTCAAATTTTGTGCAAAAATGTAAAATCCTAATATTTTTATCTGTGCTAGTTCAGGTTCGGAAATTTCGGTTCACTCCATCAAGTACCTCCCACAAAAAATCAAACAAAAATATCTGTGAATATAGAATATACTGGAACACCCCATCTTGCACCTTCCCTCGAAAAGTCAAAAATTTTGGATAACCATAATCCTCATTGATTGCGTAATAATCCCATTCCTGCTGGTATCTCCCCCAAAGGGGGGTCAAAAATTTCACTTATCACAACTCTCATAGTATTCGAAACCATTCAGCGATTTTTGGTATATGTCGGTCCAAACCTGGTACTTCGCAGCGTTTATATCAGACTTAGAAATGGATACAGGCAGAGGGAATACATCTTTCGAAAAAAAAAACAAACAAAAAAAATTATAATAGAATTTTTTATATTTTATGGAAATTTGTATTGTTAAAAAAAAAATAATAAATATTTATGAAGTTTTTAATAAAAATAAATTTTGTAAAAATCTAATTTTAGATTTTATAAAAAAACACTAAAACAGACAAGTAAAAAAACTGTTAAGTTCGGCTGGACCGAATTTTTTATACTCTACAATTTGGAAAATATGTCTGTAAATTCTGTAATTCCAGTATTCGGTGGTATGCGTCACTTCTGCTATTAGGAACATCCAATCCAAATTTCAAACAGTTATGTAAAAAAGTTTGCCTTTGTCATCAAAATAACGTATAGCGGGCTATAGAAAATATTGATGCTAGCTACAGCCGTGATTTTAGATCCTATAAACTCAGAGAATATATGTTAAATACGGTGTTAGTTCAGATCCTAGGATGCCCCCTAGAAACTTTATTTTCTGTATTCTTGAAATAGTATTTGTTTGGCCAGCAGTTTATGTGATCTTCTTTCACCCCTACCAGAAATAAAACAGGATCGCATTAAATTATATTTTTCCTCACCCCCATAACATAGAGAATTTAAGCCTATGAATAAATTAAAGGCAAAAAGTTATTACGGCAAAAAAGCCTTCGATGAACTTTTCTTGCAATTTTAATTTACCAACAATTATCATAAGTTGTTTCCAGGAAAATTTTACTACAATCGCTTTATTGTTATGGCCTGTAGACACCTTTTCGAAGTTTAAATTTCCCCCTTTTTTTCTTTTTTCTCAAAACACAATTAGACGCCGCCACCTACCTTCATTACGAACTGACTGACTCAAAGAACACTTAATTTTCATAACTTAGACTAAACTTTTCTGATTAGTTAAATATAGTCCATAGAATATGTATGTAGGTATGGATGTTTGGGTAGATACGTTCAATTCAGTTGAAAGGTTGAATGGCTGGCTGCCACAACGGAAAACGTCAATTAGTTGACGGCAATGTGGTTGTTAGGCGATAGTGGCATACCAACACCCATGGACCCTCATGGCGTTGGTCCTTTACATTATTCAGAAAATAACACTTTATTATTGTTATTTTTTATAACAGCACCACCCGGTGTAAAGTCAAAGGTAGACAGGCGGGTAGAGAGACAGACATGCAGACAGACAGTCAGTTGGCCTTCCTCCTGGTAAACTAAGGTGCTTGCCCTTATGCCGTGTATCGTGCCTATCCTTATTTCTATTGTTAATACATATTTATGGCTATCAATTTTCTGGCCATTTATTTATGCATATGTTGTGGTCTTACCCACGTCTACCACTGGCTCCCTGTTAGAGTCCTTTTTCATGGACGGGTGCTGGCTTCCTGGGCCTCCATAGAAATTGGTTATTAGTCCTTTTTGGGTTGTTATTAACGTAATTATCGCAGGGCCATACCCTGAAACCAGCAGCAAATTGCCGAACCTTACTTAGGACAAATTGAAGCCATTTATATTTATTTTTCGTGTGTTTTTGGCCAAAGAAGAAAAGTTTATTGGAAATTAGTAGTTATTTTCTTTTTTTGCAGTTTAGGCTGCTGTTGTTGTGCTCCCTGTTAAGTGGCTATATGACCGTGTGTTGTGAGATGAATTCGTTCATTAAAGTTTGTTGATATCCTGTCAGTCGGCCAGTCTTGGTGCCTCTGGATCTGACACATGTCTGTTAATTAAATGGAAAATATTATTTAATTATCTAATTTGATTTTATATAAAATAATTGATATTCCTAGTAATAATAAATCATAAGATGTTTATTAATTTGTTGATCATTTTGCAGAGAAAATATATTTTCAGACTGATGTTAATTGCTTAAATATTATTTATTAATTATTTTTTGGCAAAATTTATCACAATTTTGCTAGCTGTTATCAAGAAAGACAAATAAATAGTATTCATATGTGGCTGATGGAAACTTTTAAATGTTACGGTGGATTGATGTTTAAAAGAATTTTTCGGATTAAAAACAAAACCTAAAACGATTTTTTTAAATATTTATTAACATTTTAATCATGATTTTGATATTTAATGAAATAATAAGCTATGTGGACAATGTTTTGAGGCCAGTTATAAAACACAAATACCAAATTTTAAACCAATCCGAAAAACATGTGGTCTAAATCGTAAAATGGCGAATATCTGCAGGTACCTTGTATGGCGGCTATAGGAAAGCGTGGACCTATATATAAAATATTTAGACACCGGTATTAGAACCCACTACGAAAAAAAAAATGCCGAATATCGGGAGATGCCTTTGTATGGGGGCTATACGAAAACATGGACCGATTTACCTCATTTTCAATACCAACCATCCTGGACATAATACAAACAATTCTGCCAATTCTCTACGGTAAATAATTTTATCGTAAATTCAAAAAACAGAATGCCTGACAAACTGTATGACAAATTTCATTATACGGCCCTAAATCTTTCAAAATATTTTTTTTTTTAGAAATATTCGTAAACCAGTTGATGGAAATTTCGCCTTAAATACAAAAGATTCATTTATTGAATATTCGACTTTAGCAGGTCCTTAAAAACTTGCATTGCTACATAATATTACGACTGTGTCCATCTAAGAGAATTCTTTAAAAAAAATCCATGACTGTAGTTCTTCAAGAATATTCTTAAAACCCCCATGACTTTTGATACTCTTGTTTTTTGTCTGGTATATTCTCCCCCGGATTTATTTTTAAAATAACTCCTGGTACCAAAAGTTATGGGGTTTTAAAAACATTCTTGAATAACTACAGTCATGGATTTTTGTATAGAATTCTCTTAGATGGACAAAAAAAAAAAAAACAACGGAACTGATGAGGATTGGTGGCTTTTTCCGAAACCTAGGTATTCCCTGCCTTACCCCCTGGTAAACATTACCTTCTCCACTAATAAACAAACGTTGTTTTTATAAAAACAACAATAATGGGATTAAACCTGACAATTTTGCAACAACCAAAATAAATAAAAAATTGTATGAAAAAATAATAATTTTTTTTCCGAGATGAATACCCTCGGTCCATATCATGGACTAAAACATAATTTCCAAGCTACTAGCAATACAGAAGGTTTAAATGTTTACCTCACCTTTTAATGGGATAATTTGCTAATGCAATATCCATACAATATAATTTTTTTTTCTTTACTCCATTGATAAGTTCCCCCTAGGTTTAATTATATTATATTAATTATAATTACTATAATTATTATTATTATTGTTATTATTATTATTATTGTTATTATTATTATTATTATTATTATTATTATTATTATTATTATTATATTATTATTATTATTATTATTATTATTATTATTATTATTATTATTATTATTTTATTATTATTACTATTATTATTATTATTAATATTATTATTACTATTATTATAATTATTATAATTATTATTATATTATTATTATAATAATTATTATAATATAATAATAATAGTAATAATAATAATAATTATTATTATTATTATTATTATTATATTATTATTATTATTATTATTATTATTATTATTATTATAATTATTATTATTATTATTATTATTATTAAAATTTTATTATAATTATTGTTATTATTATTGTTATTATAATTATTATTATTATTATTATTATTATTATTATTATTATTATTATTATTATTATTATTACTATTATTATAATTATAATTATTATTATTGTTATTATTATTGTTATTATTATTATTATTATTATTATTATTATTATTATTATTATTATATTATTATTATTATAATTATTATTATTATTATTATTATTATTATTATTATTATTATTATTATTATTATTATTATTATTATTATTATTATTATTATTATTATTATTATTATTATTATTATTATTATTATTATTATTATTATTATTATTATTATTATTATTATTATTATTATTATTATTATTATTATTATTATTATTATTATTATTATTATTATTATTATTATTATTATTATTATTATTATTATTATTATTATTATTAATATCCAAAATCTAAGCATTAAATTTTAAATCACAAAATCTTTGGAGCTCAAAACGTCTTGTTTCAGTTAAAGATATTTAAATGGGCGTATCAATAAAGTAAAAAAGACATTTTCTTATTTTGTTTATTCTCAAATATTTTCTGAACTGAAATCAAATTTAGTTCCTTAATTATTAAATAATTTAATTAAGTTTCTTAGTTAAATAAAAATATTTGTATTTTGTTTCCCTCATTCCAGCAATCCCCCAATACCAGACATCAGCAACATGTTGCTGCCAAAAATGTTGATAATGCACGTATCGTGAATGCGTTGAACAATAACAACAACAACCCCATTAATAATAACAACAACATTGTCAGCTGTTCCATAACCCCAATTGACGAGAGCACAGAACCTGCAGTACAAGAAAAACTACAAACACAACAACAATGTAATACCGGAGCTGACGCCACATCAATGATTCATCGCCCAAATCAGCTGCTTACTGGAAACGACCACGACGTACACGATCAAAACACCACCACGACAACTACGAAAAGCATATCACAACAAACGGACGATGAACAACTGGAAGAACAGGAAACCGAAAATAAACAAAACAATAATTTTATTTTCAATTCAAAACACCAACAACAGCTGCAGCAACGACCCCACCAACAACAACAACACGACGACTATCAAACACTTTGCTGCAACGACGACGAAACGATTTATGAACAAAGCATAGAGTGTGATAAAATGAACCCCATCGAAATGAATGCGTACCGAGAGCCGAGAGAGTTCATGTACTCCGTTTATTGTCACACCAGCCACCATCCGCCGTCGTTGTGGAGAGCAATGCCACCGTACGAGACCTCAGCCACAGCAGCGATCAGTTTGACGCGTTCATTCGAGCTAAACACAACGGCGTACGGACGGAATATAACAGCGTCGTCGTCATCCGCAGTTCATCATAAAACTAGTTTCGAAAGATCGCCATCCAAAGCGAAGAGTAGTGATACAACAACTTCAGCCACTACAACGTATAATTTAACACCCAATAAATGTTTGGCAGAATTGGAACGTTTATATGCGGAATTTCGGGCCAGTGAAAGTTTAAGAGAAAAACGCTTGCGCGAATTGGAGGCCAAAAACGAGAACGGGGGCGTCGACGACAGTGGTGACACGAGCTCACAACGGGCCAAGACGGGACAACGGTTGTCGGGCGTTGAGACAAGCGAAAGTAACGCAAATATGCGTCTAAATGTGCCCGCCTCCACGAACTCCACATTCAGCGGCAATGTGGAGGAGGCGGCGGCGGTGACCAAACCAAGTGATACCACCAAAATAAATCCAAGTACCAGCAGTGTATTCCTAACAACAACAAATAGTGTTACGGCTTTAACGAATCCGTGTCAGCGCACACCGAGTCTAACTATACAAGTGAATCAGAATACAAATACAAGTTCAAATCATTTATCCAATAAGAATACAACTAATACCAATACCATTAATAATAATAACCACAACAACAACAACAATAGTAATGCTAGTGTAGGTGAAATTATCCTAAATCAGGCCATAGTGAATGCAACAACGGCCACCACCAAGAATGGTGTTAGTGTGATAAATTGTAATTATGTAAATAATGCCAATAATAATAATAACAACAACAACAACAACAAAAGTATTACTAATCTATGCGATATTGCAACAAATACAAATCTCAACCTAACGCAAGGGAATTTAAGAAATACCCCAACGCCACCTACCAGCCGCAATGGTAGTGGTGGTGGTGGCAGTAGTAGTGGTAGTGATAGTAGTAGTCCCCGGAAAAATAATTCAAATATAAGTGATACAACAACAACAACAGCTGCAACAAAAGCTAGTGTTAATAATTCTCAAAATAGTTCAGTGCCTAATTTGTTGAAAAATAATGAAAATAATAATTGTAATTCGCTTTCGAATCAACCCGATCAAGCCCATGCGGGCAGTGTTAATGTCATTCAAGTCAATGGTAATATAACAGCACCCATTTCGCGCACCTTCACCTCCACGGAATGTCAAACGGATGATGTTGCTGCCGTGCAACTGAGATCGCCCCGCACCCAATGCAATGCCACGCAATCGGGCACGCCATCCAACACCAATGGCCGTGATCGTGATCAGCGACGTCGTGAAAGACGTGAGCGACGTCATTTGCATCATACCGCCTCAATGATGGTGGCACCCACCCACTCGCATCATCCTGGGCGTCATCATGGCCATTTGGATCGCCATTCAATGCCTGCCCCACCATTACCTCCCATCTTACATCCGCCACATATGCATCCTGGCTTAAGCCAGCATCCCCACAATGTTGCCATGATGAGACCAATGTTACCGGATATTCTCCACAATCATTTTCCGCCACCATATAGTGCTCTGCCTTCCCAACCGGGGGCAACACATCCCGGCGCCATGGCTGGAGTTAGTGCCGCCAGTATGCCAAATCATCCAAATGGACCGACTTTAGCGCAATTTGCTCACGGCTGTCCAGCACCACCGCCACCACCCGGTGTTACCATTTTGGGTCCTCCTCCACCGCCACCACCAGCGGGTACAACAATGCTGACATCGGTAATATCAACGGTGCCCATACCCGGAGCCACACCAATTGTAAACGATGGTCGTTTTTCACTACCGTTGCCGATAATAAGAAGGTAAGTGGATCGTCAGAATTTTTCTTTTAATTTACCTGAAATATAAGAAAATATTCTACATTTGGAATATTACATATCTCTAGTTGTTCTCAAGAAAGATTTCTTGATTTCCCTAAAGAAGATTTCTTCCTTTTTTTCATTTGTAATCTCAAGATATTCCCCAATAAGACATTTAGGCCTTATCAAAAAAGATTTTTCGATGTTCTTATATTTGATTTGTGGACCTTCTCCGTGGAATTCCTGGAAGATCCTTTAATCATCTCAGTGCAAATGTCTAAATCGTCTCAGAGAAGCCCCGAAAAATCTCTTTATCTAGAAAATCTCTTATATTACCACTGCAATAGATTTTCTCACAGGCAGCTCCTGGAACTTCTCGGTAGAGAATTCATCAAATCCAATGCAAAGACTTTGATTTTGATTAAGAATTTTCGATTTTTTTATGGAATACCTCACATTTGCTAAAAGATCTCTCTCTCTCTTTCCATTTCTAAAACCTTCAGACCCTCTTCAGATCTTTTGGTAGAAGATCTGTAAATCGACTAGGAGAATATGTGTGGACCTTCTAATAGAAGATCCCCTGATATTTTGAAAGAAGCTCATAAGATTATTTTTAAAATATACATGTATTCACATAAAAGATCTTCTGAACCTCCTGTAGAAGAACTAATCATATTCCATCAGAGGATCTTCGATCATGGTACGAGAGACATCTTATCATCTCCTAGAATATCTTCTGATGTTTTAAAGCTCTCCTGATCCTCCCATAGACGAATATTTGATATTCTCTACACAATTAATAGCTTAAGATCCTCTCCAGATAGAAGATTTCCAGGTCTCTTGATTATCTGGTGAAATATCTTTCGGCATTCTGATATTATTGATATTGATCTTCTAATAGAAGAGCTCTTGATGTTTTCTAAAAAAAGTGTTTTAAAGATCTGCAAGTATTATCATGTAAATCTCTCTCTTCATAGAAAAAATATAGATATGTATAGATCCTCTCTAATAAGTTCGACCTAATTGGTCGATCTTCTGTGAAAAGACTTCTAATGTATAATGTATATTCTCTTAGGGGACGATATTTTTAAGAGAAAATATTATCGTTGAAATCTTATCAAAGAGTGCTAGATCTTCCTACAGAAGATCGGTAGATATTTTCTCTTTAGGCATCTTTACCTCGTCATAGAAAGCTCCAATCTCCTGATTTTTTTTAGAAAATCTGATGAAATGCCCTCATGTTCTTAAAATGAATTTTCAAATGCTTTCACATTATATCTATATATTCTTATAAAATTTCTACAAAATGTCTGCAGATCTCTTGAATGCTTAGAAGACTTTCTGAAGATTCCCTGAAAGCCCGCTAGATTATCTCATTGAGTTCGAGGTTACCTCAAGATCTATTGTAAGAAGATCCCTGAATGTTCTCTCGATATATGTCTCTTTATTCCCTCAGGAGATCCGATATCTTAGTTTATTAAGTCTCTAGATCTTCGATTCCCTGATTTTCGTGGATAGAAGATCTCTAGAAGAGGAAATCCTCATCCCACAGAATATGTCCTGATGTGCAGAGAATATTCAGATCCTCTATACTCCCATAGAAGTTATGCAAAACTAGAACAGATCTTGTGAATGATCTGAAGATATTATCAAGGAAACTGGTTAGTGGCCCGAAATGAGGATCGAATTCGATCCGTCCTTGAATCATCGTACTCTTTCTACCAAACGTGCATCGGATTTGACGATAATCCATGTCGGTCCACTCTACCTCCTGACAAAAGTCCAAAAAGTTCACGAAAAATAAAATGTGAAGCGGTGGGAATACACGGTATTGTTCCAACTTAGTACATCGAAGTATTTAAATCTAAGTTAGGCCAGGCGCTAAAAACGTCCATTGACCATTCAATCTTGTACTGTCTATATCCCATATAATTTCAAAGAACAAATCGAATTTTGCCCCATAGAAAGCGTAGGGTGTCCTCGATTTTATCCAAACATGGCAAATTGTATTATTTGTACTAATATTGTGCCAGGTACGAAAATGTGCAACGAACCGAACCTTCTGGCTCCTCCCTAAAAACGTATCCGTACTTTGAATGAGCATAAAGGTGCAAGCACATAAAGGGCTTTTCTGATTGGCTTAATTCATCTGCTTCAATGGCTTCTTCGGAAATGAACAAAGGAGCCGCGGGTAAAAAAATCGACTAAGAACCCCCAAATTTTTTATTTAGGCCTCACATATTCGATCTAAATTTAAAGCATGATAGGTTCTTAAAATCCTAATTGCAAGTTTCTGTTGCAATTTGTTTCAATTTCAACCATTTAATATAGAACTGTGCTTCATAAAACCGATATTGCTATTTTATTTACCATTATACGATTGAAAAAAAAAAAGAAATACAAAGTGACATCTTCCTACGCCATTTGCCACTCTGCACATTTATTTCCTCTCCATCGTCACATTACGACGAAAACATAACAAAAATGTACGATTCCATTTGGGGACAATAAACTTAAAGTCAACATTTCTCAGCGTAAATAAATCTCCGATGAAAAGAACTCATAAAATCCCAGAATACGACCATTAAAAATGCCTTCTGCCGGTCGTTCAGTCAGCATGACATATTTTCTAAGGCATTATTTCGAAATGACTATTAACAATCAATTGATATCAGTTCTCGTACGACTCCTTTTTCCTCTCTATCTGTTTGTTTGACTGAGCTAAGAGCTAACACTTAGTCATCATCCGTTTACGGCTGACAACAAACAGCATTGATGAAGGAGGAAGAAGAAGACGACTATAATGACGGACGGAACTGCTAATTACTACAGTGCCTTTTCGTACTCATCACATTTATGAGGTTCCCTAAAAGGAAGAGCCAAACAACATAACACACGAAAAGATTTATGTCCAGACATAAATGAGCAGCCCAATGACATTACTTGGCGTAATTTTGTTGTTGCTGTTGTTTTACAAATCCAAGGCATGTCAACTGCACTCACATACGCACGCAGGCTCACACACTCGTTAATTTTATGATTAAGATTAATTACATTTCTAGACCAGATTTAGTGGTGGTGTTGGTGGGGCTGTGCCAATCTCAAAATTGAATTTCAAATGGATATTTCTTTCGATACAGCACGGCGAAAGGTTTTCACTTTACTTCATTAAGTTTTGCGAGAAACAACAACAGCCGCAACCCCTTTATTAGCAATTTAGAAAGGAGTACCACGGATGCTGTCATCGCCTGGCTGTGGCCTTATGTTTCGCTACCTTTAACTGGCGTGCAAATGGCAAACGCCAAGATAATCCCACCTCTAACCATCATTTCATATTCGCCTCACAACAATAACAAGTCAAACCTATAAAAATGAATGTTAAAAGAAAGTTTTTTCTTTGATTTTGTTGTTGTTGTTGTTGTACTGCTAGTACGTACAACAATAGCACAAAGCTAACTGCCACCAACAATAACAACAATATTAAGCTAACGACTTTTGAAGTTAAGCCATGAAACAACAACAGCCGCCGTAGTAGCAGTGCGAGGAAAAAACCTGGAATTATTTTTGAACTTTGTAAAGATACACCGACAGGAACGGATAGACGGATAGCTGAATGGTTAGACAGACGCTTAACATGGATACGTACATACCACGGTTAAACAGCAGCACTTTTTTTATTTGAAATCAACGCTCATCCCATTATCCCAATTAATGGTTGTGTGGTGGCGGATGCACTGTGGCATCATTGTGGCGATTTGAAATTGCAAATATTTGAAAGAATTTCTGAGTTCCTGAACTAGTATTTGGCCTGAGGGAATGACAAAACAGCCAAGAATTAGTTCAGTCAAAATCGTTTGTATTAGTTCATTCTTCTCTAGAGTATCAATGACGCTGAAAAACGAAAAATACCGTTTGTATATTTCTAAAATGTCGAATTTCTGAAATAATAGACTTATGTATGGTTTTATGAGTTTCGTCCGGCAATTTTCAATGAACATAAAATACCTGGAAACTGTCCCTACATTTTAGTGTACCCTCAGCCATATGGCTACAGAGGGTATCGTAACAATGGTTTTAGACCCCAGATCTCTTTAGACCAATTTCGTTTCAGGACATTTGGAGTCGATGTAGGGATATCCGTCCGTCCGTCTGTTTGGCTGGCTGGTGCGCACGATAATTCTTGAAAGGAGTATTTGATTTGATCAAAACTTGGTACATCGGAATATTGTTGTCCAACTTTTATCCAGTTTGAATATGGTAATATCGGTCCAGTCCTCCTGGTATCTCCCCACGAAAGGTCAAAAATTCCAAAGAGAATAATTTACCCCATAGAAGGTTAAAATATCATCCAATTTTGTGCAAACTTTGCAAATCTTAATATTTATATTAAAACTATGTCAGGTACGAGAAAGGACAATATCGGTCCACTCCAACATGTACCTCCCGCACAATGCGTAAAAATGTGGAATAAGTATAACTCTTATAAACTGCGAAATAAGCATCCGATTCTCTTCAAATTTCGAACATCACAATATTTCTACTAACAAAAGATCTGCTGTAAAGATCGAATATATCGGCCCCCACTTTCTGCTACCTCCCCCACAACGGGTCAATATTTTGAATATCCATCAACCTCATAAAATGCCAAATAACCTCCCGATTACTATCACACTCGGTACATTCCAATATTTCTATCAACACTTGGTCAGATGTAAAGACGGGATATATCGGTCCACCCCTTCTAGTACCTCCCCCACAACGGCTCAAAATTTTGGATAACAATAACCCCATAAAATGCGGAATAAGCGCCCAATTACTTTCACACTCGGTATATCCTAATATTTCTATCAACACATGGCCAGATGTAAAGATGGGATATATCGGTCCATTCCGTCAGGTATCTCCCCATAACGGGTCAACATTTTGAATAACCATGAGCCTCATATAACGCGAAATAACCATCCGATTATTTTTACACTCTGTACATCCCAATATTTCTATGA